CGTTATAACGTTCGATCTATTGATTTACATGAAAGCAAAGGAAATTCAATGGAAATTCCACGATGAGTTTTCCAGGACTATTGTTCGCATGGGTGGCTTCCACATTGCTCTCAACTACTTGGCTTTGCTTGGGAAGAAGTTCAGCAATTCTGGCTTAGAAGATCTGCTTATTGAATCAGGGTTATATGGAGCCAGCACAACAACCTCATTGATTAGTGGAAAGTCTTACAACCGTGGAATGAGGGCCCATAAGCTTGTAATGGAATCGTTATTTCCACTGGCATGGCTAGAAATGGCTCCAGAAGAGACATGCAGGTGAATGCACCACCATCAGCCATCAAAAACTACTGGGAATAATTGAAGATTGCAAGAGTTCTGTGAACACAAAGAGCCGTGTTATTGACAACGTTAACCTCTTACTTGAAGAAATGGATGGCATTGTTTCACTATTCTGTCTTTTCAAACAAGAAGGAAAGTCCAAGTCATGCACCTTTGCCTTCTGGCTTGAGTATATTTCAATGGTTGTAACACTTTTGCAATTTGTGAAAGCAGAGAGATCGGCCAACTGGGAACTACATCTTTTATCAACGGCTGCAATGGCTCCACATTTCTTTGCCAWGGATAGGCACAATTATTCCAGATGGCTACCCATTTACTTGATTGATATGAATAAAATAAAGGAAGATTTCCCTGATGTTTGGCATGAGTTCAACCACGGAAACTTCTCAGTTAGCAGGTCAAAGCAGCCATTTGCCCAAGTTTGGAGTGACATGGCCCTAGAGCAGTCAGTAAACCTAGACTCAAAAAGCAAAGGAGGAATAATAGGTCTAACCCAGCAGCCAGGCGCTCTACAAAGGTGGTTTCTGACTTCCCATGAACGCGCTGCCATCACAACATCACTAAAGGAAATGTGTGGCTATGAAAACACAGACCGGGTTGGTACACACAAAGAGGCTCGACCAAAGAGAGTTAATAGAGATGAAGAAGATGTTCAGAAGCTCATCACATGCTTTAATTCAGGATTGATGACCAACCCATTCTGCCTTGACGACCTATCWACCGACGAAGACGAGAAACAAYCACTTATCAATATAGCTAGCGGTGTAACTCTACCTACAGATGTAAGTGACAGACTGATCCATGCTACAGAAGAGGGCCACAAATCTATGAAGAACTTCATTGACACCAGGCTAATTGAGCAGGAAAAAAGTTTTTGGKACCCAATACCCCAGCTTAAAATTAAGACCTTCAACACCATAACAAAAAAGGCAAAGGTAAAGTCAGCAGATGAAAAATTGGTCACCATCTCCACTGATCGTTCATTATTTGGACGCATGTTAGTTGTTGCAGGAAAACGTGCTGTTAAYCTTAAAGATGTTCTTACATATGAACTCTCTACAGTTCCTGTAGCATTAGCTCATCCAGATGGCACTTTGAGAAAAACCACTAAAAGTGCGTTACTTTCATTGTTAGAGGAAGTTGCTAGTCATGGTGTTTGTCCAAGACTTCCAGCCCCGTCGRAATCAACCAGTACATGTATTATCATTGATGGGATGGCACTGATACAAATGCTGAAAAATGCCAATGAAACATCATTTGGCAGTATGGCAGCGAAGTACYTTGATTACATCTTATCATTATTTTCTCAGTGTTCCCAAGTAGACGTTGTCTTTGACCAATATCGTACCTCTTCGATCAAGAATGAAGAAAGAATGAGAAGAGGGAGTTCTKCTTCATTAGAAGTGAAGATTTATAGCTCATCTACACCCATTCCAAATCAATGGYWGAAGTACATTGGAAATCCTAGAAATAAGGAAAACCTAATGGTATATTTGTCAGAAACATGGTCGATCATTGCAAAGGAGAGGCTACCACAGCATAGACGACTCATTCTAGCCGGTGGATTCAAGGAAGGAACCAAAGTGCTGTCCATTTGCGGAGGAGTAACAGAAGAAGTGGCTTGTTTGTTTTCAGATCACGAAGAGGCAGAYACCCGCATGATCTTGCATGCAAAGCAAGCATCTACATCCCACAAACGAATAGTGATTCAGACTCCTGACACAGATGTCATCGTTTTATGTACGACTCATTACAGCCAACTAGAGTGTGAGGAACTTTGGTTTAAGACAGGTTCTAAAGATAAATTAAGGTTTATTCCCATTCATACTTTGGCAGCCAATTTAGGTCAGTCTCTATGCAATGTATTACCATCATTCCATGCAATAACTGGCTGTGACAGTACAAGCTCTATGTGTCGAATCGGTAAGAAAAAAGMTTGGAAAGTACTTAAATCTAGCCCAGAGCATATACAACGAATTGCTGCATTGGGACACCTYCCTGATCTTAACGAAGAAGTGAGAAATGCATGCGAAACCTTCGTCTGTTCCCTCTATGGTACCAACAAGATTTCTATTGACGATGCAAGATATCTACTGTTCTGCCAGACAAAACAGCAGAGTGAAGGACTCCCTCCATGTTCGGAMAGCCTTCATCATCACTTGAAACGTGCCAACTATCAGTGTTGTATTTGGARAAGAGCGATCCAAGCTTATCAAAACATGCCAACACCCGTTGGACGTGGATGGGATAAAGATAGTGAATCAGGACTACTAACTCCASTTCTTATGACCAAAGACCATGCTCCCAAGGAGATTGTAGAATTTACAACGTGCAGGTGTTCCAAGTCGATGTGCACTCGTAATTGTTCCTGTAAGAAAAATAGTTTGCCTTGCACAGAGGCATGCCTATGCATGGCCAATGATGATTCTTGCGTGAACCCTAACAATTGCGGAAGCTACGAGGATGACAACTCTGAAGATGAAGCTGATGAAGAAAACTTATAAGCAAGACGAGATCTGCACAAGTTTTCCTGGAACGATTGCAAAAGCTGTGATAATGACTCTGATAATGATCAGACGATAAACAATTCAGTTTATGCTCTATGTTCCTTTTTGACATTCAGTTCAACTAAGTCGCTGTTCTCGAAAGAGTAAATGTAGGTAAGCACATGTCAGAATATTTGATATTTTAGTAAATCCCACATATAAATCCAACCGCTTTGTGCATATCTTGTCATATTTGTTATAAGTGTAGAAGCAGGAACAAAAAGAAAACTTTTTCCTGAAAGTTCACCTGAATTTAATGGTATTTATTCTTAAAAGAAAGCATTTCCTGGATGTCACGTGACCTGTCACGTGATCAATTGCAAGAAAGTATAAAACGTTTTAATGGCGTCATAGTCACTAAATGAATATATTTTGGTGACATTCTAATGTATTATTAGCAATTAGMAGCTGTTTGAAGTCATAGCCTCGTTTTCATGTTTTTCAATGAGGTCACTTTTACGGACGTTTTTTTTGTATTAAAAATATTAAAACCCAACTTTGTTGTCATAAACGGATACAATAGGAAATTCTGCACCATTCAAAATGTTTTAGAGGAGCAAACATTTTTCTTAGAGCATTTTATCTCATTTTGCAGTGGTCAATTAGTGCAAATGTAAGAAAATAGAGCATATGAAGTCACGTGACAGGTCATGTGACTAGCATTCCCGACTTATTGGAATATCATATTGTCTACAACGTTGAACTTGTGAATTGTGCCAATTTTGAAAATGTTCCGATAATAGGTTGTTGTGTTTCGGGCAGTTTTCTGTATTACCCTCGGTTTCATGACAGTTGCCAGGCGACCATAAATGTTGCCAAATATCTCGCGAGTGGTACCACAATCTGACTCTACATAGTACCTGATCTGAAAGAGCAGGTRTTGTTCTATAATATTCAAACATCAAACATTTTCTGTAGTCCGGGTTGTGCGAAGTCTTAAATTAAGGCCTTTCCTTCACATCGCCCCTGGACTAATCAGGGCGTTCTCTTTTCGTAAGTCTTTCATGCTTCAAATCAAAATAGATATGGTAACTAAGTTACTTGTTGCTATCATCAATAGCTGAGTAATAATATAGCAAATGCGTCCGAATATTGCTGTTTTAAAAGGTGGTAAATAATCTTTATTGACAGTCATATTATTACTCATCAGAATAATAATCAGTAGTTATAGATCTTCATAATATCTCATTCATGCAAAATTATTATTCTGATGGCTATAAACCAAATTATACTATGACAATGACCGAATGACCGGTTGCCGTCACTATGCGTTCAGCAGTACCATACTCGTCTTTATAGAAATCATAATGACCTTTGTTTCCTATTAATGTGAAAGTAATCAACTGTTATGAATCTTCTACTTTACATTCCTTTTCTTTGGCGGTGTTCCATCAGGCTCCCTCTTTTCTTTATCCTTTCTCTCTTTCTCGTCTTTATCTTTTGCCTCTAGCATTATACTTTGTAGTTCTGAAGGACTAGATATTTTTCTATTTTGCCGCGGCCCCCCCTTTTATCGGTGAAAAAAAAAAATGAAGAGAACGAAAATGAGGTGCATTCTTGTTGCAAATTACAGATTGAGAATATTTAAAACATATTTTTGTTAAATTCTCCTTTGCTGCTGTTTTTGGGCAGAGGAAACTATTTTTGTTACGATAAAAATAAAAGTAATRGCGAGGAGACTACGCACGAGTTCGCACGTGCTTGCGCGGTTACCTAGCTAATTATTCCTTCTTTCGAACCCTGGCTCGATCTTTAGTCTACTTAGTAGTTTTATGCTYACAATTTCAACAATTTCTAGTGCAATACCTACGTTTTCCAGGACAAAATGTAAGTATTTCTACACTTKAAACTTGTATCCATTCACAGTAGATAAATACAGCAATTAAATCACTCTATTAAYCCTAGTTTTTTTATTGTCTTTTCACACTGAATTGAAAGCTTAATCAATCGATGCTCAGTTGTTAATAAAATGTTCAATAATTTAATAACCATCTAAGCAAATCTTTTCTAGTGTTATTTCAACTGATATTTGACACGATGCATTCATAGTCACTTATAAATTTAGAAATGTTGTCGTCCCCAGCTTTTATCATAGCTGAACCAATACTTTAAACGATGACTATTGAAGGTAAGATTCATTATACTAAATTTTTTCTTTTATTTTCATCAATMAATTTCAAGGCTATCAAAAAATAATATATACAAAATGAATAAAAAAATCAAACGAACGAACAAAACAAAAAAACAAAGGAAATCTGGGTCATTTAATTAGATTTCATAATTTCGGCCGTTTAATTAGATCGGAGACGACCCTCTTTCTATCAAGAAAAAGAAATCGTTGATTGATTTTGTTTCTTACTTTCATTTGTGCATACAGCACTACCAGACGAGATCATTGTAAAGATTTTTATGTGTTTTACTGTGAAAGACATGCTAAAAATTCTCTCCATGGTTTGCAAAAGATGGAAGGCAATRTGCAGCAATACTAGTAATCAGTTGTGGAGGATTCTACCTCTAGACGATTGGGGTGTGGAAAGCTTGAGCCAAGAGAATTTATTAAGCATAATGTCTCATTCCTCAGGATTTGAGTGTCTGTCGATGAGCTACATCGAATTGCYTCAATTAAGTGAAACTACCTTGCAAAATTCGCTGATTCGTTCTTCCAAGCTAGCTTACCTTGATTTGAGTGGACAACCAATAGTGAACATTGACTTTATCAGCCTGGGTAAAGTACCCCCTCTTCGAACTCTGATTTTAAATGACTGTCTAAAGCTTTCCACTGGGTCAGAACAGTTCATTGATGTCATAAGACRGCTAGATAATCTTAGATACCTCTCACTGAATGGAGTTTGTTTATSTCCAAAACAAGCTATTGCGATTGCTAAGGCTCGACCAGAATTATTTCTTCTAGGTCTATSGGGTATTCACGGGCTTCGTAGTAGAGAAATTCACTGTATCTTAGAAAGCTGCAATGTTCGTCTTCATTTCCTACTATTGTCACGCTATTTAAACCACAAGGATGCATTACGTGATCTTTGTTCTGAATATGATGTCAACGTTTCCTTTGTTTGAGTAATTAAATACATTTATACTAATGAAATATAATTTATTCATTTTTGYATTTTTTTTTAATAGAGTGGTAGCATGTATCACCCTGTGATCACACAAAATACTTACTTTTATTTACGTGGATAACAGCAGTTCCGTTTCTTCACAAAAATAAAAAAAAACATATTAAAAATTAAATTCACGATTAAATGATTAAAATTATGCGAATGATGCCATTATTTCCTTTACAATTTGATTAACAGTCCAGTTTCGTCAAAAKTCACATTATTTTGTTTAATTTTAGTTGTATATTCCAAGGTTTTTTTTATTACAGATGGCAACGAACTCTAAA